CCTCATTATCATCATTTGTTTATGTCCTGCCATGACAATATATGGTGCTTTGCAAGTAAAAGTGCAACGAAACAGGGCCAGAGTAGGAAGCGGAGAGCTTTGGTGACTCAGAGCCTCAGAGGCCCCAGGGAAGAATCCCTCCTTTGTTTACTGGTGTCCAAGGCCACATCTGTCACGTCCCTCCCATTTGGGGCTGCTGTGAAATTGGTCTCTCCGTCCAGCTGGCGGCTAAATCGCTGAGCTGGGCTTGCAACAGCCACAAGCCCAGCCGCACGGCTCCAGATGGACGGACACATCATGCACCCCTCTGCATGCAGAGAGAGGGAGGCCCTGGTGAGGAAAACACAAGCGCAACCCCGTCATTCAAGATGAAACGTGGCGGCTGCTGAATTCCACAGCTGCCGTTACTATTGGACAATCTGGAGAAACAATTGGCAAGAGCAGCTATAAAAAACACAATTCCATTGTGAAGATGCATACGTTTTTGTTGACTAAGCAACAAAATGACACTCTTGTGCCATTCTAAGGGAGCCAGAGTTCAGTGAAGGCGATGCTAAACAGTGGCAAATGTCCACATTAATAGCACTGAGTAACAAAAATTGAAAATGTTTCTGTTCCTAGTTTGAGTCTTCTTTCTTGTTTAATTGTGCGGACCTTACTTTGGAAGTACCATAGTTGTTCTACTCCAGAAACTTCATTTTTGTGGCTGCCACAAACTATGTCGAATTGGTTAAGACTCGATGAGATATTCATTGAAAAACTATTGCAAAATGTGCTGCAGGTAAAAGATAAAGGTTTCCCCTTGACATTAAGTCTAGTTGTGTCCGATTCTGGGTTTCTAAGCTGAAGAGCCGGCACTCTATTGCTCTTCCAATGCATTGGCTTTACCTTCTAGTTCCCTTTTTATGTTTCATGGTTTAAGGTTGCCTATAACGCATTCTGAGAAATAGTCATCTTTTGGAAATTTCCCAATCACAGGATGGAATGAGCATTGCCACCTCTCAGCTCCTGGTTTCCATATGTTTGCTGCAGCGCTGGAACAATTGCATTGGCAAAAAAGTATAGTCAGACATTTTTTATGCACATGGAAACAAGCAGAAACATTTTGAAAGACAAGGATACAATTTGACCAAAACAAACAGGAGGAAGGAGAAAACTCTTGGGAATGCCGCCTTCCTCTGGACATGAGATGTAGAAGACAGTGAATGTGGCTGTCTATTGGGAGAGTTTAGACCAGCCCCCTCCCCCCCCCCCAAACTAATGCTCACAGGCTGCATGTAGACCTCCAAGGTAATTTACTCTAAATCTTAGAAACAGGGACCATGGTGGCGTTGCAGGTTAAACAGCTAAGCTGCAGAACTTGTTGACTGAAAGGTCACAGGTTCAAATCCACAGGACAGGGTGAGCTCCTGCTGTTAGCCCCAACTTCTGCCAACCTAGCAGTTCGAAAACATGTAAATGTGAGTAGATCAATAGGTGTCACTTTGGCGGGAAGGTAACTGTGCTCCATGTAGTCATGCCAGCCACATGATCTAGGAGGCATCTACGGATAACGCCAGCTCTTCGGCTTAGAAATGGTGATGAGCACGCCCCCCAGAGTCAGACTCAACTAGACTTAGTGTCAAGGGGAAACTTTTACCTTAAGTCTGCAATGCTTTTTCACCGCTTTGAGTCACCGGACAGCTGAGAAAAGCGGTATATAAAGTAAATAAAATAAATAAATTTTAAGGCACACAACAATCCTAATTAACTTCACTATTGCATCAGCCTAAAGCAGGCCCACACTTCCCACTGAAATACTGATAAGTCTATGTTGGTTAAAATTGCTCTTCATTTTAAATGTTGTATTTTCATTCTTTTTGCATTACAAATAAGATATGTACAGTGTGCATAGGAATGTGTTCATGTTTTTTTTTCCCAAACGATAAGTCTGCTTCCCTGCCTCCTAACAATGAACCAACAATCTGAATTTCACCAATAATATATGGAAATTAGGTTCACAGGAATATATTCTGAGCTGTTCACTCATCTCTTTCATCCATAACAAAGCTTTTCTGGACCACAAAGGGACCTTGTTGTATATTTAAGACCACAGGTGCATTTATGCTATAGAATCAATGCAGTTTGACACCACATTACCCACCATGACTCAATACCACATAGGGTTTATAGTTTGACAAAGCACCAGCAAACCTTTGGCAAAGAAGGCTAAAATCCCTGTAAAACTTTGGTTAACATTGAGCCATGGCAGTGAAAGTGGTGTCAAGCTACATTAATTCTACAATGTAGCTACACCCTGAGAGCAAAATGTTAGTAATGTAACTTCTTGCAGACTTCCACATCATCTTGACCATGCACTTCACTATGCACTTCTCTCCAGGTATCTGATGAAAAAGAGCTATGTCTATGAAGGCGTACACCACGAACTTCTTTCTCTCTCAGTTCTTGTGGGTTTTTTTGGGCTATATGGCCATGTTCTAGAGGCATTTCTCCTGACATTTCGCCTGCATCTATGGTAAGCATCCTCAGAGGTGAGGTTCTTTCTCTCTGCTGGTCTCAAAGGTGCATTGTGCATCGATCCAAACTAACATGGCTGTGTTTTTGAAGGCTTTCCTGGACAGAGCTAAGATTCTAAAAATGGAGACACATGCAGATATTCACCAAGCATCTGTCTCACACAACTTCACTCTTTCTTTCACTCACAGACACACATATACAACAGCCACAGGCAGTAATCTGAGTTTTTTTTTTTATTATAGACCAAATATCTCAGTAGCATTCAGGGCAGAGTATGTCTTGCTTGGTAAGAGTCAGACAAGGCACTGGGCTGAGGCTCCACTACACAGCAAGCAAAGCAAGAGCTGGGATTTCACCACCATGGTTAAACAGAGATGGCATTTAAGCCCTCGCTACACCGAGACCACGTCGTCTTCACCGGAGGAACTCAGCAGCAGCTGCAGGTCACAGTTTGGGACAGATATGAGCAGCACTGTGAGATCTGGCCATGCGCACCTCGGACTGGGAAAGATAGGTATGGCTCACAACAGCAGTCCTAAACAAAATGGATCGCAACCATAGCAAAGCAGCAGCAAAGAGGTGTTAAGACTTTCATGTCCCGTGACTGAGGAGAGGGAGGATCATGAACAGATCTTGGGAAAGTTACTTTTGAGAATGCCCAATATCAACCAGGGAATCTGGGACCTGTAGTTTTCAAATAGCACTCTTCCCAGGCAACGGCTGATTGTCGCTGCTTGGGGAAACAATGCCTCAGGATCAATTTTCTTGTGTCAACACATGGAAATGAATTATAACAGTTTGAGGCTACAGTGGAGGGATTTCCCTGTATTCCTTTTACTGCCACAGCAAAAGGCTAGGCCAGGCCTGGGCAAACTTCAGCCTTTCAGGTATTTTGGACTTCAACTCCCAACAATTCCCAACAGCCAGTAAGATGGCTGGGATTTCTGGGGGTTGAAGTCCAATATGCCTGGAGGGCTGAAGCTTGCCCATCCTTGCGCTAGGTTAAAGTCATTTCCTACAGAAGTAATAGATAATGAATGCGCAACTCTCAGGTTTCCCATTGACTATGACATGGTATATCCACATTACAGTTATAGTGCTTTAGTAACACTTTTAACTGCTATAGATCCATCCTACTGAATCCTGAGATTTGTAGTTTAGGCAGGAATATCTAGAGCACTAATCCTGTAGTTCATGGGAGATCCCTAGAAAAGTGTAAACATTATCAATTCCAGGATTCTGCAAGCAGGAGCCACAACAGTTAAACCAGCAATCAAAATGCTGATTGGTATTATTATTATTTACTTTATTTATACCCCACCTTTCTCCCTGTGGAGACTTAAGATGGCTATGGACCCACCCACAGGCACAGGTTTGAAAAAATAAAAATGTGTTGAGTGATTCCATTGTTAATGTTAATGCCTAGAAGTCCGTACATCTATCTCTGCACCTCTTTGAGCCACAATCCATAACTGTTCTAGATGGCAAAATGGATAATAAGGCACAGCCAGATATGTATTTTTAAAAGAGAGGATAGATATGCAATCTCTGCACTGTACCACCGTGAGAGCCCCCTTCACCCTTTGGTAAACTCAGTAAACTCAGGCTTCCTATGTAAAAACATATATTAGAAAATGAGAGTAAGGAAAGCTACTCCTTCTGGCTAAAATCAAGTGCACGTGTGTGTGGAGACAGTAGGGAAAAAGAAATAAAGCTTTTCTAAGTGGACAAAGTGCAGCAGAGTGTAGCAACTATGGCACAAAAGGGAGAATTGGAGGACCTGGCAGAGGACTATGTACATAGAAAATAGACTGCATTAGCTACCCCGGTGCAAAGAAAGGCTATATGAGATTTTCTGAACAGTGGTCATATGTTGTCAAAGACTTTCATGGACGGAATCACTGGGTTGCTGTGAGTTTTTCGGGCTGTATGGCACATTCCAGAAGCATTCTCTCTTGACGTTTCACCCACATCTATGGCAGGCATCCTCAGAGGTTGTGGGTGAATGAAGGTGGCCAATTGCAACATTCACACTTGCCTCCAACAGACAAGAGTTCTTTCTCCCACCCTGGACATTCAACAGATATATAAACCCCACTTTCCTAGTTTCCAACAGACCCCTCAACCTCTGAGGATGTCTGCCATAGATTTGGGTGAAACATCAGGAGAGAATGCTTCTGAAACATGGCCATACAGCCCAGAAAACTCACAGAAACTCAGTGGTCTGCAAGCATATCTTTCTGAAGTATCTTCACAGAGAGACAGCAACTTTCCTTAAGGAAAATGCTAAATCAGTCTAACATAATCTCAAACATTTATAAGCTGCTCACTGCAAAGCATCAAGCAACAACTAACTTCCGATAGGGAAGTGCTCAGATTTCAAAGTCTGAAACTGAACAACTTTCTCGTCTTCCCAGTAATTCCGAAAGCAGATCCAATCTTAATTCGTTGAAGAAAAACTCAAGAGGGATGAACATGGTGGCTGAGAGAACCCAGGTAACATATAGTGGTTATGAGTCACAATGGGTTTGCAACAAAACCATGTGTTACAAATGACGGTTGGTTACCAGCATTTTCTAAGGTTCACTTTGGGTTGTAACTGGGACACAACAGCTGCACAACAGACCTCAGCAGTTTTGAATAACGTTGGCCAACATGCAACAGTTCAGTCCAGAAAGGTTTGGCAATTACAGGAGGGTTCTGGGTGGAGAAGAAGGCTATATATGGAGATACACAGCTAAGGATAATGGGAGTTCATGCTTCGGAAGATCTCTCTTCCTCCAACTGCACCCCTCAAATCGTCTGCCTCTAGTTCATTCTTCCTGGCTTCTTCTGGTTCATCTGCTGGAGAGACAAAAGAAGAAAAAAGAGAGCAAAGTCATCTGTAGCAAGCAGACAGACAGAATGAGCACACCATTTTATAGGAAATGGGGAATTGGGGAGGTTGAGAAAGAAGATAGAGGGCACAAAATATTTGTGGTTCCTAGAATTCTACTTTCCTTTGAGATATTCAAGGACCTGTGATTCTAAGGCCCCATCTATGCTGCCATACAAAATCCAGATTACCTTCTTTGAACTGGATTATATCGCAGTGTAGAAGGGGCCTAAATCTCCTTTTCCTAACCATATGATCTTTCCTTCTTTCACAGAATCTGGTTCTTAATTATCCTACCCCTGCACTATACCAAAAAAACATACAAACACATTTCTGTATGTGTGTGTTTCCATGTGTGAAGCTCAGTGGCACACCAATGTTGAATGCTACTATCAATGAAAATAATAGTATATTGGGTTATCAAAGGCTTTCTTGGCCGGAAGCACTGGGTTGCTGTCTGGCCATATTCCAGAAGCATTCTCCCCTGACATTTTGCCCACATCTATGGTAGGCATCCTCAGAGGTTAAGGGCTCAGTTGGAAACTAGGCAAGGAAGGTTTATATATCTGGAATGTCCAGGGAGGGACAACCACCATGTCAGGCTACACAGAAAAGCCCTTGAAATCATAAGCATGTGGACAAATTCAACAGAAAGGAGGAAATCATGAAAATGAAGAAAATCTGGCTACCAGTATGTAAAAAACTCTAAAATCAGGACAGTAAATAAAGACCACACTCAAAAAACATAACCGTACCTTCTCTCATTGGCATTCTCCCATTGTTTTTATTTAAAATGAATTAATTTTAAAATAAATATATGTATTTTATTTAACAAGTCTGCCCATGCAAACATGTGAAAATAGCATTGCACGAAACATGCAGAATAATCACAGGATGTCTTAAACCTAACCTGTTGATAGACTTCATAAGCTAGCTGACATTGCCGCCCCCCCCCCCCCCATGTGCGACGGGAAGTTGCTGCTAACTGTCAGAGAAATAAGGTTGAACACTGTGAAAGCCACCAACTGCATGGCTATCAGCCTTCTCCCAGTAGACTTAAATCAAGGAAAAGCTTCATGAGACCCACCACTCCTTTTAACGTTTCCCTAGCAACCATGACGGTTTGCCTCCAGGGACAAACCGAGAATGGGCAACTTGGAAGTCCCTGAACAGACTCAGAAGTGACTGTGGAGCAGAACAGACAACTCTGCATCTGTATGCTTGTCTGCAATGTCCTGCTTCATGTACAGAGGAAGAATAGTTTGAGGCTACAGACAGTGCAGTTGCTGCTGCCTGTTTTTGGTCAAAACATATATAGCCGCTTGTGCTCCTTCTACGTATTTTATCAGTTTTATACTAATTTATCAAATGCTTTTGATACGAAATAAATAAATTGCATTTATTTCCATTGAATTGGGGAGGGGAGCAGCCAGGGGATCTTCGGGGAGAGTAATGCTCCCTTGCCTGCTGGAAGGCTGCATTCAGGTGCTCTTGGTCCTTGCTTGCTTCTCAATCTCCCTTTCCCTCCTACACACATAGTCATGTCTTGAACACTAATGGCATCCTGCTCTCCCCTCATTCCTCACCACAATGGCACAGCAAAGCTCCTGCATGTTGCTGGATGACCATTTGCTGATAGCTAGGACTACATATGTTTTTTACCCACCCAATTCCCCACTCCAAACGTGGCACTTCTGCCAGTAGTACCTGAGAGATGCTAATGCCAGTCAGTTTCTCCACTGTGTCCGGCAACCTGTTCATGATTTCCAGGACTTCCCCAGTCATCTTGGCCGCCCCCACGTCTCCAGCCCCACTTGACACCATCGTGATCTTGTTCACCGAGGCCATGGGTTTGGTGATTTGTTCAGCCATCTACACACAGAAGGAAAAGGGATACGAATACACTTAGGGACTGCTACACACTTTGCAAAAATCAGTGTTGGTTTGCCCCTGGAGCTAACAACTTAGCTGAAGTTGTAAACACACAAGTGACAACACTAACACATATATTTATAGTGTGACTGTCTTATTCACAGATTTGATACCCCTGTTTTTATTAACTCCATGCTCCAAATAATATATCTCCCTACCCCCAAAGTGTTTGTAAACCCTCTGTAGGTCCTCTAATGTAATTCTGTGGTATGCTTCCAGCCCAAGTATAGTCAAAATGAAAGGTTTGCTATTGGTGGGTTCAGGTATCAGGGCTGGTTTTAGCACAGTAGGTAAATTGCCAGCTGCAGCTGCAGTAAATCTTGCCAACTGAAAGGCTGACAGTTTGAAGCCTTAGCCCCTTTTACACTCAGTGTGATAAAAGCCTCAAAAATTACATGTGAGTCTGTGTTTTTTTTTGTCATGTCAGGAGCGACTTGAGAAACTGCAAGTCGCTTCTGGTGTGAGAGAATTGGCCGTCTGCAAGGACGTTGCCCAGGGGACGCCTGGATGAATTGATGTTTTTATCATCCTTGTGGGAGGCTTCTCTCATGTCCCCGCATGAGGAGCTGGAGCTGATAGAGGGAGCTCATCCACTTCTCCTCGGATTCAAACCTGCAACCTGTCGGTCTTCAGTTCTGCCGGCACGGGGGTTTAACCCACTGCGCCACCGGGGGCTGTTGCTTTAAGTAGAAACAAAAATAAAGGTCTATTCACTGTAGATCAAAAACACAAAGCAAATCAGAAGAATTGTTCTCACCAATATACAACAAACAATATCTCCGGTGAATCTTCTTTACACGAAAATATGCAACCATATAGGAAAATAATACAGTCTCTCTACTTAGTTATCAGTTGTCCTTATCTTGCCATAAACAATCAGTTTCTCTGGCACTCCAAACTACTTCAGTCTTCAGCTTCAGGATGCTGCATAACCACTCCCAGCAACAGCCAAAGGTTTCTTCAGCTCAAAATGAGCCATCAAGCTAAACCAAAATGCAAGCTCAAAGCTTGCAAACTTAGTGCCTTGTTATATGCAGGAGCTGATAACACACCCAATTAACTTGTGGCAGCTGTAATAAAAAATGTTCTGATCCTCCCTGTTACTTAGAAAAAGCCAGTTGTAAACCCCTAGTAGCAACAAAGTGCTCACCTCTGGAAGCCTCTCCAGAAGCATGTCAACCATGGCCACCTCTTGGTACTGCTTGAAGGCATCTGCTTTCTTCATCATCTGCTCAGCATCAGCCCGGGCCTTGGCTTCAATAGCGAAAGCCTCCGCTTCACCCTTCACCTAAAGACACGAGGATTGAAGATGGAATTGGTCAGTGAGTGTGATTTGGTCCACCCATATTTTTCCTTAAATTGGTTCCAAAATGTAGGTCCACACTCACCCTGACCGCCTCGGCTTCTGCCTCCGCCTGCATGATAAGCTGTGTCCTGACAGGGAACGAAAGAAGGAAAAATGGTTACTCTTATGCTCTTAACAGTTTTCCAAAAGCTGAGTTTTCAACTCTTTTCCAAACTTTTTTGTCTCTCAAAATGGAGGGGCAGGGAGGACGAGACACTGGAAAAAGGCTGAAGCAAACTTAGTATCAAATACTGGACATTATACAGGACAGATTGAGTATCCCTTATGCAAAATGCTTGGAACTAGAAGTGTTTTGACAGTAACCAGAACTATCAATTACTTGGCACTTTATATCTACATCCTATGTGCATTCGGCTGGGGTGCTATATTGATTAGATGGATCTTTTAACTGATTGTATTTTAATAGAAGTTGTTCTTTTCCAATTCATATTCCTAGTTTATGTAATGTTATTATTGTTTTCATCTTGTTGTATTTTATTCTATGTATTGTGTATTTTATGCATGGCATTTTTGTGTGCTATTTGGTAAGCCACCCTGAGTCCCTATGAGAGATGGTTGTGGGGTAAAAATAAAGTATTATTATTATTATTTGAAACACAGCAGACAAGATCACTCTGCTGGCTGTTGTATTGGATCACACGTCGGACACTTCCCAAGAGTCTAGGACTGTGTGATGTATCGGCGAATAATGCGTGCAGATCCCAGTAAGGTGGTCTTCTGCAGCTGGCAGATGGTAATTTTGTCAGCGCCAATTGTGTTTAAGTGCAGGCCAAGGTCTTTAGGCACTGCACCCAGTGTGCCAGTCACCACTGGGACCACCTTTACTGGCTTGTGCCTGAGTCTTTGCAGTTCGATCTTTAAATCCTCATATCGTGTCAGCTTTTCCAGTTGTTTCTCTTATTATGGATTTTGAAGGATATAGGAATGCTTGTATTTGCATATACCTACATAATGAGATTGGATGTTCTACCTGTACAACCCCATATCCACTCGACTTCCTTTTTCAGCTTGGTTGTTTCTCCACATAAACCTTTTGGCGTTCAAGTCAGTTTATACAGCTTATAAACAATATATAAATATATTAATGTTATTATGTAATTGGATGCTATGTATTTAGCTGTTGTCTTTTTCCGAGTTCATTTTTATATAGGCCTTCCTTCCTGAACTTCTTTTAAATAGTATTTACAAGTCAAAATGCATTGGGCTTGTCTCCCTTTTCTTCATGGACAATACTGGTGTGAGAGAATTAGAACTAGGCAAGGATGTTGCCTAGGGTATGCCCAGATGTTTGATGTTTTACCATGCTTGTGAAGGCTCCCCATGTCTCCACATGGGGAGCTGGAGCTGACAGAAGGAGCTCATCCGCGCTCTCCCCGGATTCGAACCTCTGACCTCTCAGTCAGCAGTCTTGCTGGCACAAGGGTTTAACACACTGGACCGGCAGGACTGAAGAACGACAGATCGGAGGTTTGAATCCGGGGAGAGCGTGGATGAGCTCCCTCTGTCAGCTTCAACTTTTTACACAGGTACATGAGAGAAGACTCCCACAAGTATGGTAAAACATTAAAACATCTGGGCAACGTCCTTGCAGATGGTCAATTCTCTCACACCAGAAGCGACTTGCAGCTTCTCAAGTAACTCCTGACACGGAAAAAAAATGGACAAGACTTTTCTCTGACATGCTAGTATCACTACTAGAATTTCCAGAAGGAAAGCTGGAAAAGACTCTTGTACTTTTAATGACTATTACAAGCAAGTCCCCTTTCTACCCCACCACTAAAAATACAAGCATCCTCTCTGAATTTCATTCTGGAAATTTCAATAGTTTCTGCTTCATAGAAATGCCCAGCGATTCAGTTTTCCACTTTCAGTCTGAAGTGGCCTAGCCTAGCTTTGAACCTCTTCTAGCATTTCTATTCGCAAAGTAGCCTTGACACAGAAAAGGATGAAGACACACCACAGGAAAGGGCCTGCTCCTACCTTTCTGCCTCGGCCAGTTTCTCCAGCCGGTAGCGCTCGGCTTCCGCAGGCTTCTTGACCTTGGCCTCCAGCTCGCGCTCCTTCCGAATCATCTCCTGCTCCTGTATCTGAATCTGTTGGGTTCGTTCCACCACCAGCACCTGCATCTTCTGCTCCTCAATCATCTGCTTTGTCTTGGCTACCTGGAGCATGTAAAAGGCACAGTGAGGCAGTCAGAGTTCATATCCAGTGAAGCACAAATGGTCCAACTGTCAAAACAGCCAGTGGTGGTAATTCCTGACATTTTTGATATCCCAGCTACCACTGCCCTGGCTTTGGAGGGAAAGAAGAAGAGGTAGCTCCATCATGTCTAGGCTAAGAAGCAAATGGAAGGCCCTCCTTCCATCTTCCCTGGTCTCAGAGGGAGAAAAATAAGGAACACATCTATCCAATCCATGCTTCCCTCCCACCCCAATAATGATGGTTGCCTCACCTGTAGCTGATAGGCCAGGTCCGACTCTGCTTTCCGCGTGTTCACCTCAATGTCATACATAGCCTTCTTCAGCTCAAAGTCCCGCTGGGCTTTGGCCATTTCAATATCATTCAAGAACTGAGCGGACAATTTCTCCTGCTTGGCATTGGCTTCCTACAGGCGGAAAGCAATGAGAATTCAGCAGCACATCGCAAGCTATTTTGTAGCCTGGAGTGGAACAGCATAATAATAATAATAATAATAATAATAATAATAATAATAATAATAATAAGTTTATTTTTATACTCCGCCAACCATTTCCTCTAGGGGACTCGGGGCGGCTTACAAGGGACAAGCCCAAAATTACAAGTTTATTTGTTGTGTCAGGGCAACCAGTCAATTATATTACATTTCTAACAGAACAAAGCAAACAAACAGACAAAATACAAGATTTGTGATTTGGTAGTTGATTTGGTAATTTGTGATTTGGTAACTACCAAAATTACAAGTGAAACACACCGATTAAAAACATCAGATAAAATAAAAAACACACACAATTGTAAACAATATCAAAACAATATGGCTGAGAAAAAGAACCTAGCTCAGGTACATTATGCAACTTTATCAGGAAAAACAAATCCCACAGGTGTATTTCTGAGGCAAATTTGTACTCAATTCCATTGCCAGGTCTATGAGGTACAAAATAAGTATATATCGTCATCATCATCATCAACAACTATGTGGCTAAAACGTACCTTAATGCCAGCATCCCTCTTGGCTTCGGCTTCCCCGATCCTGGCATCCTTCTGAACCTGTGCTGTTCGGGCTTTCCCCAGAGAGTGCAGATAGTCCTGTAGTTGCCGAGAGAAGGAGATTATGGTGGGGAGGTAGACAATCACTGTTGCCGATTAGCTTCCGAGCACAATTCAAAGTGCTGGTTTTGACCTATAAAGCCCTAAATGACTCCGGCCCAGTTTACCTGTCCGAACGGATTCTCCCCTATGAACCATCAAGGTTACTAAGAACTTCCGGAGGGGCCCTGCTCTCGGTCCCACCACCTTCGCAATCATGTTTGGTGGGAACGAGGGACAGGGCCTTTTCGGTGGTGGCCCCTCGGCTTTGGAACTCCCTCCCACCAGAGATTAGATCTGCCCCTTCCCTCCTGACCTTTAGGAAACTAATAAAAACCTGGCTTTGGAATATGGCATTTGAGGATTGAGTCAATAACCCTTGTCCACATGGAAGGATGGCGATGAATTATGACTGTACTGATGACTTGGCTTGTGTAATGTGATGACGATGTTTTTATAGTACTTATATTTTAATGTACAATGATGATGCATTGTGCTGTTTTGTATATTACTGTATATGAACACATGTTGTGAACCGGCCTGAGTCCCTCCTTGGAGGTGAGAAGACCGGTATATAAAACTTCTAAATAAATAAATAAATAAAATCATGGCTCTAAAGTAAACATCCCAACAACTCAGCACTGACAACTGGATGCCCCCCCGCGAGGGTCTTCCTCCAGAGGCGAACCAAGAATGGGCTACTTGGAAGTCCCTGAACAGACTCAAAAGTGGAGTGGGCAGATCAAAAGACAACCTGGTAAAATGGCACTATCAAGAAGAATCCCCCACCTTGTGTAACTGTGGAGCAGAACAGACAACTCCACATCTGTATGCTTATCCACTATGCCCTGCCTCATGTACAGACGAAGAATTGTTGGAGGCTACAGACAATGCCGTTGCTGTTGCCTGTTTTTGGTCAAAAATAGCTGCCTATTTTTATCAGTTTTATACTAATTTATGCAATGCTTTTGATACAAAATAAGCACTGAGAAAAGCCATTTTTTGCAGACAAAGGCCAAGAAGTCATCAATGAAAATGAAGACTATAGCCAAAAATCTGAAAAAAAGCTAAGACTTGGAAGGACAAGGTACAAGAGTAAGATCCCCAACTGTAATGATGTACTGGTGATATATCTATGTACAGTAGATATATTTTCAAAGGTGAAAAGCTCCACGTGGACGGATTAGCTGGTGTAAGGCAGTGGCAAGGAACCAGCCCTATGTACAGATGTGAAGGCTGGACAATGGAGAAAGCTGACAATAAACAGAATCAACTAATTCAAAATGTGGGACTAGAAGGGAGACTGATGGGGATTATGGACACTATAAAGAAAAATAAATGGGTCCTAGAGCAAATCGGGACTGTGGCGCAGCTGTCTGAGTGTCAGCTGCATTAAAATCACTTCTGAACAAAAGGTCATGAATTCGAAGCCAGCCCAGGTCAGAGTGAGCTTCCGACTAATTGTATAGCTTGTTGTTGACCTATGCAACCCGAAAGACAGTTGCATCTGTCAAGTAGGAAAATTAAGCACCACCTATGTGTGGGGAGGCAAATTTAACTAATTTATGAGGCCATAAAAAAAGACTCCAGCAAAGCACTCCAGCAAAAGCATGCGGGGAATGCGGAAGTACTTCATCAGTGTCGCAAATGGACGATGAAAGCGACAGCTCCCCTGGCGGCCAGAAAAATTAAATAGCCTCTGACGTCTGTCTGTATCTGTTGTGTGTCTTTGGCTTTGAATGTTTGCCATATATGTGTACATTGTAATCCGCCCTGAGTCCCCTGCGGGGTGAGAAGGGTGGAATATAAATACTGTAAATAATAATTCAAACCTGGATGCCAGAATGACCATATTTCAGACATATACAAGAACAAAACTTACTGGGGGAAAAAAGACACATAATTATGACATCCTGCAACTTGTAAAACAAAGCTGGTGACGTATCACAGAATTGGGACAAACTGATTGGGCACTGAAATATCTTGAGAGGATTCCCTCTGGATATTTCCAAAGGTGAAAAGCTCCACGTGGATGGATTAGTTGGTGTAAGGCAGTGGCAAGGAACCAGCCCTACAAGCTTTGAAGCAATCAGCAAGGGCAAATGAAGGAAAGCTTTAAACCTGCAGATTAGGAACTTGCAGTCTGATTAATTGGAGAGGTTGGCAACAAGTCAAGGATCTCAACAGTTAGCAGAGACGCATGTTCTCCTCTCCTCCCAATGTGATGCTGCAAATGTGGCAGTCTTACTTACTCTATATACTCGAGTATAAGCCTAGTTTTTCAGCCCCTTTTTTAGGCTGAAAAAGCTCCCCTCGGCTTATACTTGAGCCAAGGTTATTTATTATTTTACTCTGTTATTAGTATTATTTTTATTATATTTATGTTATTTACTTTATTATTATTGATTGTATTACAAAACCCAATTTTGTTCCCCATATTTAGATACGGGTGATCTCAAGTAACTCTGAAAGTTGCAAATGCTGATGAAGGCTATCTGCAAGCTATGAGATGATAGTAGTAATAATACTGTAGTAGCAGCAGTAATAATAACATTTACACACAGAAAATAAACAAGTTAGATGAACAAACCCTATGAGGAGCGGCTTAAAGAGCTGGGCATGTTTAGCCTGAAGAAGAGAAGGCTGAGAGGAAATATGATAGCCATGTATAAATATGTGAGAGGAAGCCACAGGAAGGAGGGAACAAGCTTGTTTTCTGCTTCCCTGGAGACTAGGACGTGGAACAATGGCTTCAAACTAGAAGAGAGGAGATTCCATCTGAACATGAGGAAGAACTTCCTGACTGTGAGAGTTGTTCAGCAGTGGAACTCTCTGCCCTGGAGTGTGGTGGAAGCTCCTTCTTTGGAAGCTTTTAAACAGAGGCTGGATGGTCATCTGTCAGGGGTGCTTTGAATGAAATATTCCTGCTTCTTGGCAGAATGGGGTTGGACTGGATGGCGCATGAGGTCTCTTCCAACTCTATGATTCTATGATCTGACGCATTATCCAATCGTTTCCCTTATTCCTACCTGGTCATCATGGATGTCCTTGAGAGTGTAGCTGACTACACTGATTCCCATATTGACCAGATCAGAAGAAGCGACTTTGAAAACTTGCTCAGAAAACTTCTGCCGGTCCTTGTATATTTCCTGTTGGGCGAAGAAAGACACCCGAGGGCACCAGGAAGAAAGGTGTAAATCTCTGCAAAAACATTTCCATTATTATCACATTATGTCATGTATGATTTTGCACGTTTTCGATAGTTTTCCTCCTGTTTGGAACTTTTTTTGCAAAGAGTTTTTTTTAGTATAAAAAGCTATTGCATAAAATGCAATGTTTATATGACAAGTAAAAGTACAAAATATTATACTTCTGTAGAATTCAATCTGCAAGCAAAAATACAATCTGCAAGCAATCTAACAGCTGGTTGGAATTGTGGGCGTTAAAGTCCAAAACACCCGGAGGGCCAAAGTGTGTCCATACCTGCTATAAACCCAAGAATCCTTAGGATGTACTTTTTGCACATGGCATTATTACACCATCAAATGTGCAATGTCAACTGCTACAGCATGGCTGAAACCCAACCTTCTCCAGCAGGAGGCAGTAAAGATTTGCACATCCACAAAAACCATACACACAGCCCTGCTCACCTCCACGGTCATATGAGCCATGATGGCTCTCTGATGTCCTTCAAGCGTTTCCAGGGAGATATGGGCAATTTCAGGCTCTGATTTGCCCAGGAACATCTGGCAAGCAGCTGCTAACATCTCCTTGTTCTGGCCCTGGATCTTGACCTGTGCAAAGGGAGAGGGGGGAAGAGAGAAAGAAATGAGTAAAAGACCAGAAGTCTCCAAGTGGTCCAAGAAGCCCATTTCACATTTGATGGAAGCATCAGCTTGCAAATGTTTATTTATTGAAAAATTTATGTCCAGCCCTATATCCAAAGATCTCTGCGCAATGGAAGACATCACAAGCTGATTTCCAACTGCAGAAGCTGTTTATTGTGGGCCAATGTAATAGGGACAAAATGCATGGAGTATAAAAGGATCTATAGTGCGCCCAAATGGGTTGCAACCCTTTTGTCACTTTAACAGAGAATTAAAGACACATTCTCATTGGCCTACAGCAGGGGTCCACAAACATTTTTAAACAGAGGGCCAGGTCACAGTCCCTCAAACCGTTGGAGGGCCGGATTATAATTTGGAAAAAAAATGAATTCCTATGCACACTGCACCTATTTCATTTGTACTGCAAAATAACTTAAAAACAACATAATAATTAAAATGAAGAACAATTTTACCAAATATAAACTTATTAGTATTTCAATGGGAAGTGTGGGCCTGCTTTTGGCTGATGAGATAGGATTGTTGTTGTTGTGTGCTTTCAAGACGTTTCAGACTTAGGTTGACCCTGAGCGAGGGCCGGGTAAATGACCTTGGAGGGCCGCATCCAGCCCCCAGGCCTTAGTTTGAGGACCCCTGGTCTACAGCAATCAATTATCTCATTGGTCTAAGCTGGGGCTGTACAGATTTTCATTGGCACTCTATAATTCTAACAGAAATTCCAGTTTTCTGTGTGCCCAGGGGGAAGTCTCTCATTTGATATCAGCCATGGATTGAGGTGCTGGGTTTTAGCCTGCCATTTTTGGACTCTTGCTTGCTGAGGTGTTCCTGCAAGTATCGCTGTGGATGTCAGAAAACTATTTTTTGATTTAAGGCATTGGCGTGCTGGCTGATATCCTAACAGGGAATGGGCTAGAGATGTCTGGGCAACTTGGAAGGCACTGAACAGACTGTGCTCAGGCACCACGAGATGCAGAACCAATCTTAAGAAATGGGGCTACAAAGTGGAGTCCATGACATGCGAGTGTGGAGAAGATCAAACCACAGACCACCTATTAGAATGCAGCCTGAGCCCTGCCACATGCACAATGGAGGACCTTCTTATAGTAACACCAGAGCCACTCCAAATGGCCAGCTACTAGTCAAAGGATATTTAATAAAATGCCAAGTTTTTAAACTTTGTGTTTTCTCACATTTTTGCTCCTGACACGATAAATAAATAAATTCCAACAGGCAGGAAGGCACACGTGGGATCTTAACAATGGCACAACTATAGTCTATTGTTCCCCGGCCATGAACACTCAGTTGGAAAGTACCTATAGGTTGCTACTTCAAGTGATGCAACTAGACCTCAATGCTCTTTTCTCCCCATAAGGCCAAGGCAGTGACAGTTGGAAGAGGGAGGGAGGGAAGGCTTCTGGATCTAGGCATGATGGAGCAATGTGATGCCTGTTTCTTCTTCTCTTCCCTGGAGGACAGGGCAGGAGTTGTTGCACTGTCTTTCCCCTGGTGATGTGGTATAGACCAGGCATGGGCAAACTTTGGCCCTCCAGGTGTTTTGGACTTCAACTTCCATAATTCCTCACAGCCGATAGGCTGTGAGGAATTGTGGAAGTTGAAGTCCAAAACACATGGAGGACTGAAGTGTGCCCATGCCTGATATAGACACTGTTCTAAGGTGCAAACCCACGCTTCACTACCTGTTACATTAGAGCAAATACAATTCAACTAGAATCAGTAAACATTGTAATATTGCACTTGTAAACATTGAAGGGAGTGAGAAGAACAGAGCTGTGACAAATGAGAAAAAGAGGGGAGGAAATAAAACTGAGCATGGGGGGAGGAGAAAAGAAAGCATAGGTGGTTTCATCCAGGGAAGTAGGGAAATATAGTGGCCCTGGTAGCGCAGTGGGTTAAACCCTTGTGCCTGCAGGACTGAAGACCGACAGGCCACAGGATCAAATCTGGGGAGAGCATGGATGAGCTCTCTCTATCAGCTCCAGCTCCTCATGCAGGGACATGAGAGAAGCCTCCCACAAAGATTTTTTTGTCGTGTCAGGAGACAAGTTGCTTCTGGTGTGAGAGAATTGGCCGTCTGCAAGGACGTTGCCCAGGGGACGCCGGATGATTTGATGTTTTTATCATCCTTGTGGGAGGCTTCTCTCATGTCCCCGCATGAGGAGCTGGAGCTGATAGAGGGAGCTCATCCGCCTCTCCCCGGATTCGAACCTGCGACCTGTCGGTCTTCAGTCCTGCCGGCACAGGGGTTTAACCCACTGTGCCATCGGGAGCTCACTCACAAAGATGTTAAAACATCACAACATTCGGGCATCCCCTGGGCAAATACTTGTAGATGGCCAATTCTCTCACACCAGAAGCAACTTGCAGTTTCTCAAGTTGCTCCTGACATGCCAAAGATAGTCCCTATAATACAGAGAACAGAAATCTCTGGATTAATTTATAGACCAATAGAAGAGAGACAGTTTGATGTTCTCCCATCCTTGAATTAATTCTCACTGTACGACTAGGAAAGTGTTACCTGGGCAATGCCAGTGACTGAGATGGGGACTCCATGCCGCGTGTACACTTTCTCGCTCTTCACATTCAGGGTCAGAGTATTCAGTGAGATCCTGAGGAGAGTGGAAAGAGACAGGAAATATTTAATGAAAGGCACAAATACAGAGTCAGTCTAATACTTACTTCGATTGTATGCAATGGGTTGTTGTAGGTTTTTCGGGCTGTATGGCCATATTCTAGAAGCATTCTCTCCTGACGTTCCACCTGCATCTATGGCAGGCATCCTCAGAGGTTTCCAAGAGATCTCACAACCTCTGAGGATGCCTGCCATAGATGCAGGCGAAACGTCAGGAGAGAATGCTTCGAGAACATGGCCATACAGCCCAAAAAACCTACAACAACCCAGTGATTCCGGCCATGAAAGCCTTCGACAATACATTGACTGTATGCAAATTACTTTTACGCTTCAAATGCAGTTTGCAGCAATTGACTAAACTGTCTGTGACAGTTTAAAAGCATATGAGAAATCAGACACAGGGGATTAATCGGGGGTTGTCCGTGCCAAATTGAGACTGGTGGAGGGAATGTCCTTAGCTGATATGCCCTTCAGATGCTATTTTGGGGTCTTATTTATTCACTTGGCAGCTCCTCGGTCTTAATGGTGTTATTTGTTTAGATCTGCTCTCCAACAAACTCTGGGGACTTCTAGAAATATGTATCTGTTTTGCGAAATCATGTGGCTCTGGAATTGGACACAGTAACTCCATTCAGTTACTTATCATCAGTGGCTTTCGGGCACTGAATTAGTGTGAAATGAATTTAGGCACGTACTGAAAAAAGAATTACACTATGTAACATTAAAAAAAATGTTCTGGTCTTGGTTTGATAGTGTTATTTCCTGTTTAGTTGTGTGGCAATTACTTTGAAAACACTTGTTCTATTCCGGAAACCTCATTTTTGTGGTTGCCACAAATTATATTGAATGGGTTGAGACTCTATGAGATTTATTCAATGAAAAACTATAGCAAAATGTGCTGCAGAATGTTCCTCCCTGTACATATTAATAAACGTTTCCCATATTATTATGATGGACCTATGGGGCAACTGGGCTTATTGACAAAAGACCCTCCTCATAAATGCACAGAAGAGTAACTTATTAGCAGCGTCACCCAACACGAGTAGCTGAAAGTGATAAAAAGAACACCTCAGCAAGCGAGAGTCCAAAAGTGGCAGGCTCAAACCCAGAACCTCAACCAATGGCTGATACCAAATGAGAGACTCCCTCCTGGGCAAACAGAAGACTGGGCAACTTGGAAGGCGCTGAACAGTCTGCGCTCTGGCACCACGAGATGCAGAGCCAACCTTAAGAAAAGGGGCCACAAAGTGGAATCCACGACATGCGAGTGTGAAGAAGAGCAAACCACTGACCACCTGCTGCAACGCAACCTGAGCCCTGTTACATGCACGATGGAGGACCTTCTTGCAGCAACACCAGAAGCACTCCAAGTGGTCAGATACTGGTCAAAGGACATTTAATCAATTATCAAACTTGCAAATTTTGTATTTTGTCTGTTTGTTTGTTTTGTTCTGTTAGAAATGTAATACAATTGACTGGTTGCCCTGACACGACAAATAAATAAATCAGTAAAATTTAACAATAAATTAATAGGTTGTTGTAGGTTTTTTCGGGCTGTATGGCCATGGTCTAGAGGCATTCTCTCCTGACATTTTGCCTGCATCTATGGCAAGCATCCTCAAAGGTAGTGAGGTCACCTCACTACCTCTGAGGATGCTTGCCATAGAAGCAGGCAAAACGTCAGGAGAGAATGCCTCTAGACCATGGCCATACAGCCCGAAAAAACTTACAACAACCCAGTGATTCCGGCCATGAAAGCCTTTGACAATAAATTAATAGATTAACGTGCCAGTAAAACCAAGCCGAGCAGGGAGAATCCATATTGTAAAATCCAAATTTCCTTTTCCTATTGCCGCTGGCCTCTAATCGAACGCCTGGCCCCAGAGCCAGGTGTTCAGTTGTCTTCTGAAGGACAGGAGGGAGGTGGCTAACCTGATATCCTTAGGGAGAGAGTTCCACAGATGGGGGGCCACTGCCAAGAAGGCCCTGTCTCTCGTCCCCACCAACCATGTTTGCGAGAGTGGTGGGATCGAGAGCAGGGCCTCTCCTGATGATCTTAAGCTTTGTGATTGTGGGCAACTAACACTGAGGTGTACTAAGCTACAGGTACACCTGCTTATATTGAACTACAGCTTTTGCTGATTCATTACATCTATTTAACCCTTTCAGTGCTTGACTCACATTTTTGTAATTAAAAATACCTAGTTAATATTTAATATTTCTGACAAGAACCAATTAGGAAATGACATTTACAATATAGGAAAAAATCATGTTGCATAGTGTAATCAGAAAGGGAAGAGAGGTAAACTATTTTAGAGGCAGTGTGGTACACCAGCTAGTTTTTGATTAGGGACTCATCTACATGGGCCACATGTATCGAGGCAGATCCAGAGTACGGTATTCCAGATCAGCTCTGGAGGAGGTGAGGGCTGACCTGAAGCTGGTTCAACAGCTGGCAGCTGTCTACAGTGCCAAACTCATTTTCCTGGCAGCAGGAAGGAGTCTGCATGGTCTAACAGTGCCAAACTCATTTTGGCAATGCTGGACAGCCATCCTTATCATCCCCACTATTTCCTCAGCTTAGCAGTAACCACTGGGCATGAAACTGCTGGTGGTCATGCTGTGTTTTCTGGTGGTCTTTGGAAACCATTCTGACACTCCTCGCGACCCCCCCCCCCCCAAGTTGAGAAATGCTGCCTTAAGGCCATCCAGTCCAACTCCCATCACCAGGGCAAGAAAACATAATCAAAGCCATCCTGACAAAGAGCCATCCAACCATAGATATAGATAGATAGATATGATTCACAAACACACACAGATATATGTATATGACAGATATAACATCATAGATTTGAAGGACACCCCTACAGAAGGACAATTATATGTTGCATATTCCAGAGTAGGCAAACCAGACAACCTCTACATCAACACTGACAAAGAAACAACAAGAAATACTGTTTACCCACAAGCATAAAGAAATTACATACATTAGAAACCAACACTTTCTCATTACTTTATTTTCCAGATCACCAGACTGGGCCACAGCAATGCATGGCAGGGGGTGACTAGTACTTTAAATAAAAAAGCTGTTCTATAATAAAGCTAGTACATTGGTATTCCCTGTAGTCACCTACGGATGTGACCATAGGGAAGGCTGAGCGAAGGAAGATACGTAGATGCTTTTGAGCTGTGGTGTTGGAGGGAAGTTCTGAGAGTGCCTTGGACCGCGAGAAGATCCAACCAGTCCATACTCCCGGAAATAAAGCCCGACTGCTCATTGGAGGGAAGGAAAGTAGAGGCAAAGATGAAGTACTTTGGCCACATCGTGAGAAGAAAGGAAAGCTTAGAGAAGACAAGGATGCTGGGGAAAATGGAAGGAAAAAGGAAGTGGGGCTGACCAAGGGCAATATGGATGGTTGGCATCCTTGAAGTAACTGAATTGACCTTGAAGGAGCTGGGGGTGGTGACGGCCGACAGGGAGCTCTGGCATGGGCTGGTCCATGAGGTCACAAAGAGTCGGAAATGACTGAACGAATAAACAACAAAGTACATTGTGTTAGGTTTATCTTTGTGTTAATTTGTTTTTAATTATTGTATTTCAATATGAATAATAAGATTATGCAGAGTTTCTGATATGGTATCATATGGGGTAAAGCATTGGTTAGGCCTCAAGCAACCAGAAACAACATTTACCCAGTGTCCATCAATCCCCATAGGAGCCGGTTAACTGAGAATCTACTATAGCACAATAGCAGGAAGCAGTGCCCACAATTTAAAAAAAGAAAGGGAAAAGTAATGGCTTTATTACTAAGAGGATGAGCCATTCAGATTTCATTTCCTTCTGCCTGCAAATACGTGCCTCAGCGTGAAGAACTTGGCAGACAGAAAGGTACAACTGAGCTTGGCCTATTTTCAAATGTTGCTTGCCAGATATAGGGCAAGATGCAAAAGAGTGAGCTCTGGAAGCGAGTGCCTAGATAGCAAAGCAGTTAACACAACTTCTGAGAGCCTATCTTGACCTGAAACAAGCCCCAAGACTATTTATAAAGATACATTCAACCACAGCCACTCATTGCTAGTGTTTCCTACTATTGTTCTCTCAGTCTAGTCTAATTTTAAACTGTTCAGTTTGGGAGACAGGGAAACTGTTTTCTGCTGATCTCCGCAAATAGGGGTATAACATGGTGGCATCCAGATATTGCACTACAATTTTAACCAGCATTAACCAATCAGGAGTTACCCTGGACTGTTCTCTGACCTACAAGAAGCACTGCCTGAATATCAAGCAAAAAGTGGGCACTAGAAACAATATCATATGATAGCTGAGTGTCACAACCTGGGGATCACAACCAGACACAGTGAAGACATCTGCCCTTGCACATTGCTACTCTGCTGCTGAGTATGCATGTCTAGTGTAGAACACTTCTCACCACGTTAAAACAGTGAATGTGGCTCTCAATGAGACATGCCACATTATCACAGGGTGTCTGTGCCCTACACCACTGGAGAAATTAGACTTCTTAGTCAGTATTGCACCACCTGACATCTGCTGGGAAGTAGCGGCCAACAGTGAAAGGACCAAGGCAGTGACATCTCTGGCCCATCCCCTGTTTGGATATCGGCCAGTACGCCAACACCTTAACTCAAGAAATAGTTTTGAAAGATCTACGGAGACACTCGCAGGAACATCTCAGCAAGCAAGAGTCCAAAAGTGGCAGGCTAAAACCCAGAACCTCAAGCTATGGCTAATACCAAATGAGAGACTCCCCCCTGGGCACACAGAAGACTGGGCAACTTGGCACTGAACAGACTGTGCTCTGGCACCATGAGATGCAGAACCAACCTTAAGAAATGGGGCTACAAAGTTGAGTCCATGACATGTGAGTGCAGAGAAGAGCAAACCACAGACCACCCATTACAATGCAGTCTGAGCTCTGCCACATGCACAATGGAGGACCTTCTTATAACAACACCAGA